GTTGCTTGCTTTTCGTGGCTGACTGTACAGAGAGGAAGACGGGCAGACAAATGAAGGTGACCCACGCGAAGTGTATGGAATTCTTGTTGAATATAATTGGAAGCGAGCGGAAACACAATTAACCTCCTCCATGTTTTATCCGTTTTAAAAAAAATCGCTTCTTCCCAAAATTGTCTAAAAATAAATGCACACAATCCATTACGAGATTCCAGGCGAGTAAGAAGATGGTTTATTGCGCCGTGTAGTCTGGTAGAAGTTTTTAGGGTACTTACCGTCTCCATCATTAGACCAATATTACCTTATTATTTATAGTTTACAGGAAAGCAAGCATCTCTGAAACGTCGGCAAACGTTTACCACACTTTTGTGGCAGGAGGCTTATGAATCTAACTTAAAATAATTCGGGTAAATGTGTCCAGCGTTCTCATCTGAAGCGTCATTCAAGCCTCGCATCATTGGAAAGATTCCGATTTGTGTCTTACAAGATTTTTTTAAGGGAGGTTTGCCGATGTTTTCTGAATGAATATAACACGTCGCCATTAAGGCCGGAATTACGGCTGGGCGCGCAGCCCAAATTACGTAGCAAGAGTATACAGGAGGTGGATATCGTCTTTTGTTATGGCAGTCCCTCGACTAGGAGCCTGTCATTTTATTACTCACGAAACAAGTATGGAGTCTTACAACACACGCTTATATTTTATTCTGTCCTGCATCAAGTCCCCATTTCTTGGAACTCTTTTAAGGCACTGTATTTGAGCAAGCAGGGGTCATAGGTTCGTAATCTCTGCCGATTAGACAAAACAATCGAAGAAATTCTAGCTGACTTCTTTATTATATTCTGTAATACAAAATAATTAACTGGCAGTTAAAATTCCCTTCTTCAGTGTTGAATAAACCAACTTTCCCTTCCGTATTTTCACGCGAAATATTTATTGCCTCGGAATTATATAAAGGGGAGTCGCCCCTCTCAGTGAGGGCAGTTTCAGGAGGAGTTTACAAAGAAATAAATTAAATTCGCAGGTAGAATGAAAGAACTATTATACATTGCCATGACCATGTGGTGCGTCTCCTGTCTTCTTGGCATTACTCGAGTTATGGTCAAATCTTGCACGTTGGGTTTCTTAGAAGTAGAGAATCTGTTGCAGGCCTTTTGGCCATCAGTTTTTCGAGAAGACTGTACCAAGAAAGTTCAGCAAGAACGCTGATATGTATTATCAGTCAGCCAACGTCGTAGCCAGTGTTCGTAACAAAGTATTATTAATCGTAGAGTCAAGGAGGTTTCATAATGAGTCTAACAAGATAGGGGGTGGGGCAGAGAGCGAGGGGAATGCAGCCGCGCGTAACCATCACCGCTGTTACTCGTTCCCAGGTCGGCCTAGTAATATTTCCCTTTCGTAGTCACTCGTGCAGTCAAGACAAACTTTCTGCGAGTTTATCAACTGACCCAGCGAAGTGATAGTGTGTGAATCAGTGTAGTTTAATCGTGAAACCACCCCAGTTGTTGCGTTTATTAAAATCGAAACTTTGGGTGTCTTGAGGTGTTAACGAAGAATCATCAGCGACCTTTGTGTACGTCCTGTGGTTGAAGTAATCTGAAGAATTCTGTCGTGGTTTTCTGCGTTGTGATGACGTGTAGGCTTGTAGGAGTCGCTTCCACATGCGGGGTTTAAGCGACTCTCAAGGGGTTGGTTACCACCTACAACACCACAGTGTTCACTGTTGCCCCATCATCGCCCTGATGATGGAGGCACCAAGTACCTCTGAAACGTTGGTAAACTTCTACCAGACTGCACGGCGTCACAGCCGAGAAGAAATACAATCCACAATTTCACCGTCGTAAAAACCTAAAATCTCACACTGAAGTACTCAAAATTTAAGCCCAGTGGTAACTATATGTACCACCTGTTTTAAAAATGAATAAATCTCCATTTTGCCCAGTGTTTTTGTGGGTTTCGTATGTTATGCCTGCAGAATTTTGTTAGGAAAACCTGTAAGGAAGAGACCACTTTGGAGAAGTATGCTTAGATGGGAGGATAATATTAAAATGTATCTTGATAGGTAAGAATATGAACTGGATCGATCTGGAACAGGGTAGCGTCTAGTGACGGTCTGTTGTGAGACTGTAGTGTACATTCTGAGTCCATTAAAGGAGGGAAATTTCTTGACTAGCCTGAGAGACTATCAGCTTCTCAAGATGCTCCCTGCTGCATGGACTTCGCATTATCTCGTCGATGCTCAGTTGCAGTTGGAGCAGACGTTTCAAAGGCGCTTACGACGTCCATCATCAGGGCGATGAGTAATCGGCTCGCGGCTTGTACGTCCTCCGATGCACCAGACTTACGCAATGCCAGCCCAACTTAACATCGGCTTGAACTCGCTGCCCGTCCTTGATACAACGTCTTCAGCCATTTTAGTGGGACGGGGTTTTGTCTAGTCGCGCAGGTAGAATATTTGTGTGGTGTGATTAGTGGTCCGCGGGCCATTCATTGGCTGTGGCAACTCAACTGCCTGTATCGAGATAAGTTTAAATTGAAAGAAATTGTTAGAAGCACGAAGCTCGTTTTAATAATCCATTTCGTACCGCAAAGAAAACACAGCACTTCACCATTACAAAGATTAACTGATCGCGTCTAAAAATATTTAAGAATCCAGTCCGTACCGCGAAGAAAACACAAGGCTTCACCATTACAAAATCAACTGATCGCGTCTAAAAATATTTAAGAATCCAGTCCGTACCGCGAAGAAAACACAAGGCTTCACCATTACAAAATCAACTGATCGCGTCTAAAAATATTTAAGAATCCAGTCCGTACCGCGAAGAAAACACAAGGCTTCACCATTACAAAATCAACTGATCGCGTCTAAAAATATTTAAGATTCCAGTCCGTACCGCGAAGAAAACACAGCACTTCACCATTACAAAATCAACTCCACGCACCTAAAAATATACAAGAATTCAGTCCGTACCGCGAAGAAAACACAACGCTTCACCATTACGAAATCAACTGATTAACGTTGTTTAAAGAAATAATCGCTGTTTATTTTGAGAATTATACGTAACCCACAAATACATTCTGTGGGCAGATTCATCGTCATTGGATGTTAAAGCAGGTGGTACTTATAGTTACCAGTGTGCTTTAAGAGTTAAAATTAGGTGTTAACATCATTTGTGTGGAGATACTGGATTAGAAATGGTGTCAGTTCAGTGACCAGTCTCGTGGCTAATTCACCTTGGTGAGATTCGTTTGTTTGTGTGGCCTCGTTAAGAGAGTGAAAGCGATGGGATCCCAGATGGCAGAAACAGGTTGCAATTCGCGGCAAGTGTGCCTTTACAAACCGATGTAGTAACATGTCTTTCAGGCAAGGTTAGTCCATCGATAATTGAACTAGGGCGGCCCCTTGTCCCAATGTCGGTCGGTGCCCCGGTGGCTCCCGTGTGCTTTGCGTAGTTCCACACAGAAATTCTACGATGCGATTTGCTTTCTGAGTGAGATTTCAGGTTTTTACGACTGTTTTCTGAGTTATTGTACCCGGTGGTGTGGTAGTTTATCGACGTTTCAGAGGTGCTTGCTGCCTCCGAAACGTTGGTCAATATCAGCGATACCACAGGCCACCAATAACCCAGAAATCAAATATCTTCAAGTGTTTACTGAGTTTGAAAATCAGCAATTTTTTTTTTTACAGCTGGAGCCTGAAAATATTATTTACGTAAATTTAACCCATTTTTAGTTTTGGGTGTGCGTAAAATTCGAAGGAGTGTTAAATTGTGGTAAACGCTGTTTGTCCGTGTTAAAACTAACCTTGGAATAGTAAGGTGTGAGGACATTTGAAGCTGCTGTTATGGGGATACTGAACGCATCATGGCAGCGACAGGTGGGGGTACAGTTCGCAGGGTAAAGCAGGAGTCTCGTCTCAGAAGGTCCGGACACCAGCACCAGTATCAGGCCACACCAGCAATTGCATTTTTTCCTGAGCCAGCAATCATGCCTCCAAACCAAGGTGCGGCTAATGTGATACGACGTCATTAAATAATCATCACTTCCCTGTCAGGACTTTGAATTTCCAAATTTGGCAACAATTTATGTGGGCCTGGAGTCAGCGACAGTGTGTTTAAGCTGTAAATGTAATACTCGGGATTGAAATGAGAAATGTTGCAGAATTTTTGGCGGAAAACATAATGTGCAATTGTAGTTGCAAGGATAATATTAAAAGTGCAAAAATTGCCTTTTGAATGATCAGATATGAAGGTGTGGACTGAGGTTATGATCAAAACTATGGAATATCTTGATTAGCCGAATGATGGCACGCGTTCAGGTGAGCCCCTGTGACGTGGAGTGGGTTGACTTTGAATCCACTGGAGCTGCTCTTAAGAGCAAACAGGGTCATAAAGTTAAACAGAAAGTGAGGGGAGTGACATGTCAAATGCAGCAATTTCTGTTTCGTTGGAACAGCAGACTGCACTGCTTGTGGGGGAGGTTACAAAACTTGTTTCTGTCACATGTACCTACAAATTATAGCTGCCTTCAGGAGCTCCTTGGTTGAACAGAATTTATAGCAGGCAAAACGAGGAGTATGTACCAGGACTGTATGGTATTGTCATGGTAATTACAATTTTGCACATGCATGTCTGGTTGTTCCTAATCAGAAACATTTGTCTGCATTGTAAGTGTTGACTTCTTCTCACTCACTTTAATTTGTCTTTCTTTATTGTGTACCAGCAGGTTTCCTCTGGAGGGATTGGGACCAAAAAATGTGCTTGGAAAAATTTGTATTTAAAATTGCTCTGTATTCAGGTTAGCAAAATAAAATTTTGAATTCTGATTCTTTACCAAAAGCTGGGGAAGGGACAGATAAACAGCTCATGTCATAACCTACCGTCTGCCAGCATAACCGTGACATCGATGTTTTAATTTATAGTGCGTGGTTGTCATCGACCACTTTGGAAGTTAAATGGAACCCACAAACAGCTGTTGATGTAATGGTCCATGTCTTGTTTTGCAGCTGAGGTGGATGGGTATGGGGTTTACAAGCCCGTGCCACCCCCAAAGCCCTTGTCATCGTGTGTTTCCACAACCTGCTACTCTCCACCGCCTTACAGAATGCCACCGTTTCCACTGTATGGAGAAACAGTTATACCAGGAGCCGCAGCTTCCGAGCCTCCAGCCACAAGCAGTACCTCAGGCCTGCACACGCACTCCAGCAAGTTCCCGGTGAGTTTCGTTACTCTGCGGTAGCCTGAATCCAATCAACTTTACAGAATCTTGTTTACTTGAAGATTGTTTCTAATATTAACCCATGTCTGTTTTTCAGTCTTTCATTTCCTTTCTGGTTACCGATTAAAATTTTTGTTTTTCTGTGTATATTTATTCTGTGTTTAATCCTATTTGTCATAATTTAATTCATGTGCACATTGTAAGAATTCTAGCAGACACGCGTCAATTATGGCATTGTTCACTGTAAAATTTCTTCCAGTCTCTTTCAGTTCATCTGTCTCAGATTCAGATATTTTTTGCTGGAACTTTTTTTCTTCTAAATGACTGAACTTTATGCACTTTTAGGTTAGGGAGACCTTGTTATACTGAACGAGAAGCTGCAAAACTGATGAGCCAAAGTACAGATATTTTTAAAATGCTTTCTTAGGAATTTTGCATAATTTGCCTTAGTTTACATTTATTGCAAATTAAAATTCTTTCACAAATGCTACTCACACTGTTGGTATCGCAATACACAGAGTGAGATAATATTTTTACTTGAATTTGTCAAATATTCACCATATTAAGAATGTTTCAGATAAATGTTGTAGATTTAAATGAGGTCAGTGTTCAGTTTCTTGTGCCCTGAACTTTTTTGTAAATTAATTATTTGTGTGATTCGTGTTCGGTAAGTCCATCGATACACACTATCATCTGCATCTAGGTCTACAATTCCTTCAAGGTTTATAAATTAGCATTTTGTATTATGGTAATGCATCACCCTTAATATTAATAAGCTCATCTGAGTCACTGGTAAACTTCTACCAGACTACATGGCATAATATCCACGAAGATGGTCGTCTTTCTGTCTGAGTTGTAATATCGAACAACATCTGGTTATAAATATAAGGATTTACCTTCCGATAGAGGGACGTCTAATGATAGTAGCTAGTTTTTCCCAGAACTTCTTGTCATAATAATTCTAATGACAGAAGGCAGATGCACAAGTTTCTTCAAACACATCTTCCTCCAAGATTTTTATGCATAATTTTGAGTCCATTTTTTTTATCCAACTTAAATAGTAGATATTTTTGTAAACTGTAGTAAACTTGACTTATACTAAACCAGAGCATCTTTTCATTTGTTCTCGTGAATGAAACACAGACCAGTTGCTTAGTTAATTTACCGAAGTTGCTTTCAGTAGGCCTCTGTTATGAGGCACAGGTCTATTATCTCTGTCATGAGAATGAAAATACCATTTCCTTGCAATGTGTTTTGTGTGGGAATGTTCTCACGGCATAATGGCAGTTTAAGAAGAAGAAATGAGAACGATGTTGTGAGTGTTAGTGATTATGTGTGTTCTGTGTAAACTGAATATACTCTGCCAGTAACGCAGTCCAACTAACTGGTACGACGTTGCTTCGACTCGCGCTCACTCAGTTGCCCCGATTTCTTTTGACGTGAAATAACGTAATTAGATTATTCTGTTTATAACATGGGAATTGTGCCGACGTTGATTTGGAATGAAATGGGAAACAATTTTGAGTGAACATCTGAAATTGTTCATAGATAAAACTCCTCTCACTTTAACACATACACTGCCAGGGATTATATACTCTGTGAGTCAAACACTGTTTGGGTGACATTTTTAATTGGAAAAAGAAAAGTTTATGTGTCGTGTGTGTTCGAGAAATTAATTCACATTTTGATTTGTCTTGTAATTGGGTGACGTGTTGCAGAAATAAATATATTAATGATGTTAATGTTCTGGGTTTTGGCACCATTTAGACTCATTGTGTTGATGGAGCTGGGTTTTGGTACCATTTAGACTCATTGTGTTGATGGAGAAACAAACTGGCTCCATCTTAAGGCTGAAGCCACTTTAATCCAGTTCACATGTTCATACCATATTTCTCTTAAAATCCATTTTAAATTTGGCCCTGTGTCTTTGTCTCCCGAGTGTTCTTTTTCCTTGAGGTTTTCTGGTCAAAATTTTATATAAATTTCATATTCCTCAGGTATGCTACATGACCTGCCCATCTTATCCTTCTTGACATGTTACATTAAGTGAAAAGTACAGATTATGATTCGTCTCATTGTGCATATTTTTCTTTCGTACTGTTAATCCTTCTTTTGTGTGTTCAAATATTTTGTTCAACATAATAACAGTAATAACTTGCAAAAAGAGAAGAATAAGAAATAAGAAGAAGAAGAATGATGATAGTAGTAATAGTAGTAGCAGCAGCAGCAATGTTTTTCTTTAGTTTGTTTACGTTGTAACACTGCTGATGTAGATTGAACGAGAAGTGATCCTGAGCAGTGCGGACAAGAACTCAAAGATTCCAATACTACACGAGTATAAGAAGCAGCGTCCCAAATCTGCATCGGCAACAGCCATTGCTCCCGAGGGCCCCAACAAGCAGTTGGCCTGGACAGAAGACAAGAAAGCTCCTGGCCTCACCCAAGTGAGTGCTCAAAAGGTTTCAGTCATTTTGTTTGTAACCATAATGAGGCAAGTGAAGAAAATTTTGTAGGTTAGGTTGAAATGGGCCACATGCATATTATGCATGAGGTACCAAGAAATACCCACACAATTTTTTATCTGAAGATTTCAGAAAAAGAGACCACTTGGGAAATCAACATGTGGATGTGAAGATAACATTACAATTAATTTTGGAGGAATATATTTTGAGTTTATTTGAATTGTGTGACACAGTTTTGTGATGATATGGACATGAGTTTTTATGAGCACAAAATTGATTTTTATGTTAGATCTTGTAGCATGGACTTAGCTGGATAATTAATTATTTAATTATATATATATATAGATTAATAGTTATTGATGTTCATCTTCTGGGATGTAATGTTTTGTGGACTTTAGCACAGCATTACAGCCCATAAGACCAAAATGAGCATCTTCACCCCCACGAGGACCTCAAATCTCAGATAGATAGATAAATAATTAGATATTCCATTACCTAGTTAATTCCTTGGTTGACTTGTTATTCATTAATGCAAATTAGGTGATAAAGCAAGGCTTACAAAACTCGCTGCTCTTAATTAAGTATGCCATAGTGAGTCTGAACTGTCACAAGGTTATTCACTATCTAAACCACCTCCCATATACTTCATGTTACGTCTCCTCCTACAAGAGCCCTACCCATCTCAAGATTGTAAATTCTGTCATACCTGTGGATACAGTCTGCATGTTAATGGCTCATGGCATGCCAATTCCCTGCCCCTGACACCCCCTCCCCCCTCAGTGGCCATACCCTTGTAAGTAATGGCAGCCTTACTGCAATATCAATAAGCTTGCAGACAGAGCTTCATTGCAGAACAAGAGTGAGGTTAGTGTGTATGAACAGTGGACAAGAAGGGAAAAGTAAAGTCATCGTCAGCCTTTCTCATGTCAGGTCTATTTGTCTTGCTGCAGGTATTCAAATTTTTCAAGGTCTTTCGTGGTGTTGTTTTCTTCACAGGCAACATTTTACAGTTTTTGATGCTGTGTTAGGGAATTGTCAGTTGTCTGTTATTTGAAAAGTAAAAAAATTAAAATCCTAAACTGTTTCAGACCGGTGCTGTCTTCGTCTTCAGGCAAGAATGTGTGTATTCTTTGGAATCAATTAGATAAAAAAACAGTCTTTATAACTGGGACACAGAATGGACATTGTCCTAGCAAAGTATTAAAATATTGCACGTTTGTCATAAAAATTTAGAATGATACTTTACACTTTGATTTGGCGTGTCCTTATCAGTTTCTTCCATGATTATATGAAGTATATTACAATATATGAAAAACTTTAAATACTCAAAGAACCTTGTACTTTAATGATGCTGTCTGACTGGCGTGTTTCAACAGCTTTATTCATGCGGTTATTATTCACATACGTTGGTCAATGTTAGAAAATTTGTTGTCACTGCAGTCAGCTTTGGCACCGCGTTGTTTGTGAGAACATGTGAGATTTTCTTAAAGATGACCAAATCCTCTCTTAAATTCTGGTAAGGAGAAATTTGCTCATATTAAACATTTTAGACTGAAAAATTATAAGAAATGTTTTTGATATTTCAGTATAAAAAGTTAATGAGCTTGTTTCTCTTTTTGGCATGTTGCAGGCCGCTACAATGCAAGTTCATGACAGCCGGGGACCCAAGTCACAAGTTCCCCAGAATTCCGGTCATGAATTCAGGAGTCAGTACCGCGGTGCTAATGGAACTGAGAACCAATTCATGTACAACGGGTGAGTTGTCTGTAAAATTGTAAACTCAAAACTGCAAAATAGTTTCACACCCAATTTCTTCTACCAGGCAGCTTCTCTGCAGCAGTGCACACTGAAATGCGTATTTTCTAAGCCTACAGCGATACGGTGAGTGGTGTCTTGTGGAACACTGGTCTTTGTATCAAGAAAAATTCTCTCCTATCTGATTTGGTGTTGAGAAAGTTGAAGCAGATTTTATCTCTTGTAAACAGTCTTTTCCTTCAAGATAATCTGTTATTTATCGTGATCTTTACGGAAGTTTCCAGTAGAGGCAGCAACTAATGATATCTTCCTAGAAGTAAATGAACTACAATGTTTTGAACCTGGTACTTTATGACCGTATGGAAGAGAATTCTTTGTTTTTCACAGTTTATAACTGTTGGTATTTTTGTTGTTTCCGTGTCTACTTACAGCTGCATTGCCATACCAAGCTCGTATTGATATGTGTTGAGTTTACAGGCACCATGGTGGAGTTTCAACTGGGGCTGTGCCTCGGACTTGGGTGGCAAGTGGACGTGCTGATGATGTTCCAGACAGTTGTCAAGCAAGAAATGCACAGAATTTCCAGTCCCAGGCTGTGGTAGGTAGGAGCCGGGCTCCTCTGCCTCTTGAGGACCAGCCTCGAAGGACCAGTCAGATCAACAGTTCAGATAGTGCAAAGGGAGAAGACGAAGTGGAGAGAGTGGAGGAGGATGACACGGAAAGAAGCAATGCGCAGAACAGTGGCTTGCAGGATGCGACAAAAGATGGCACGAAAGAAGGGGATAAAAACAAGGCCTTTTCCTCTCGGACTTATCACACGATAAAAGACATGATCTCGAGCAGATTTGGAAGTGGAAAGGCAAAGGATGCAGTTGGGAATGGTGAAGTGTATAGTACAAATGGAACTGAGGCAGGGAACAAAGTGGGTGAAAGTGGGCAGAACAGTACAGTGGCCTTGAACAATACACCTGGTGCAAGTGTTGAGGGCTCAAGTAAGAACGTTCATGGGAATCCTCACAAAGTTACTCCCACTGGTCGGGCTGGTGCTTCCATTCAGAAAGAGGATGCAACTGGGGGTATCTCAAACTCGGAAGAATTGGAAATGTCTCGGAAACAACGCGTATTAGGGGGCGGTCCTCAGCAGGTTCTGGGTTCAACAAGGAACTACAGTGGTGAAATACCTGGAGGGACTTTCCACAGTCCCCGTACGACTGCAAGAAGATTAGGGACTGGAGATGGACCTCCAGGAAGGGGAGCTGATGGAGAGGCCACAATGTGGAAGAGTGGGAGGGGCACCCCAGGTTCTTGTTCAGAACAGCAAGGACATGCAACAGTGCAACAGGACAGGGGGGCAGAGTTTCTAGGAAACAGGGAGTATCTCCTGACACAAGTCCAGGAGCCGCCTTATGGTTATCAGAGACCTCACCCACGACTCCAGCAGGGAATGCTGGATCAGAATGGCATCTACATGGTGATGCGGCAGAATGGTCAGGGCTACCAGCATGCAGTGCCAGCAAGTGGTAAGGAAAGTCAGTATGGACTCAAGGACCAGGAACCTGATATGAGGAGGCAGAACATTGCAGGTGTGTTAAGTTTCCAACATGCGGAAGGCAGTCGACCATTAACAGAGGGTTCTGCAGTCTCTAATTATGGGACACCAAACACAGTGGGTTTGATAAAGAGGGAAGCTGGAGGTAGTCAGTCCCGCAGAGGGTCTCAGTCTCGGTTGGATGAAGATGATGATGAAGGTGGATTTGTTACCAGCAACAATAGAGGAAGTTCAGTAGCTAATAATTTACGGGGTAGTAATCATTCAGTGAGGGGTGAAAACTTTACGAAAGTTGTTGGTAGTGGGAATTACAATCAACAGCATTCTTCTGGTCAGAGTTCAGATTACGAAAAAGCAACGCAGAGAAGCACAGGACAGTCATCGTCAAATGCTGACTCAGGCCGAGGCAGCACTGTTTACAGTGGTGGTCATCAGGTACCACAAGGAGGCGTAAGAAGGGAAGCATCAGAGCATCTTGACACAAGCACCGAATCATCAGATTCACCACAGGGGATCAGTGGCTATAGGGAAGGCTTATATGGCTTGCCTGCAGCTCTGTCTACAGGTTAGTGTTTCTGAGAGGACTGTACAAGGTATAGTTGTGTTAGCTGTGAAGAGCTTTCTTCCCCATCATTGTATGATGTTAGGGACATAAAAATGGGAGTAAAGCGAACTCCAGATATCAATTTTAAAGGGTACAGGATCAGTAAATTCTTGGACTATGTCCATTGTCTGTTTGTGTATGTGAGTGTGGTTATTTGACGATATGAAATCTGTGATGGTAAAATGATTCAGTCAGAGATGTTCTAAGGAATGGCATAGCTAAATTATTTATTTGGGCAGTAAGTTACTAACTGTTACATATATGCAGTAAAGGTTGCATTGCTTATTTTGAACTTTGATTCTGAAAATATGGGTGTGGCCCGTATGCACTTATGTCAGCTTGAAGCTAGCAGCAAACTTATTCATTTAGACGTGTACAGAGAAAATCAGAATTATCACTGTGCCTTTTGAGCAGAATTCATGAGAAATCATAACATAATAATCACTAATAAATTGTTTCAATAAAGTGGCATCACAGTCCATGGGAAAGTTGTCAAAACTTATAAGTCTGTCTCTCTTGTCAGCAGGACTGAACAAAGAGGGATCTTTCTGAAGATGACTGTCTTCTGGGATGCTGCAGTAATTGCCGTGATGATGGAGGCAGTGAGCTCCTCTGAAACATTGGTCAATTTCTCTCATACGACATGTCACAACATCCCAGAAGACAGTCATCTTCATACTCACTCCCATGAGAACCTGAAATATCACCCAGTGCTCTTTCTGCTCACAGTAAATGATTCCGAGTGGGTGGACATTGTGGAATCTGAGCTGCGTCAAATTCTAGACCCCAAGCTGCATGGACTGGGTCACCCAGTGCCACCTGCAGGGACAAACTCGACACTCAGTGAGAGCATCTCTTCCATGACCCCACCACTGCCCCCCCTATCACCAGGCGGTGGCTCAAGTCCCTCAATTTCTCCGCAGAATTCCACCAGATACAAGCACAGCTCGAGGTAAGTGTTCTATCTCTGAAACGTGTCAGTACTGAAAATTTTACTTGCTTATGATCAGCTGTTCCCAAAATGAGTGCTGTAATAGTACATGAGCCATTTTTGCAGTAGTGTTGTTAAGTATGATTGTATTAAACATACTGACAGCAGAAATATTGCTTTCTGTCGCAGGAAAACTCCACAAGGTGGCACTGGTGGAGGTGCTGTAAGCAAGTCACATCACAGCTCACGTATGAACAGTGGAGGTAATATGAATGCAACTGGGAACAGGGGAGGTTGGAGCAATCGTGGTGGCAGCAAGAACCAGCTCGGACCTGACAAACAGCACAGGCAAAATGGGATGCTTACCAGTGGGAAGAAAGGCGATCAGAACAAGATGCCACTTAGTAAGTCAGTGCAATGGCTGTGTATTTCATGTTGCGTTAAATCACGCACTGTTGTAAAGCTGTGTATATATGTATGCTTAACTTATCTTCATATTTTGTTACTTTTATGATTTATGTAATTTTTTTTATAACATGATGTACAGTTCTTACAGAATTTTTTTTATTAATATTGTTTCAAATTTTTCCCGCCTTTGATGAAACAAGGTTTGTTACTGTGCTCGCAATAGCCTGTCACCAGAATTAGAGAACCGTACTTTATACATGTTATTTACATGACAATGACTGTCAGATACCGAAGCGAACTTTGTGTTCACATGTGCCTAAATCATGTCTATTCATGACGAACTTTGTTAAGGTGCTTCTGTGTTTGGCTTGGACACCACTGACCTCACGTCAACAACAACAGGCCTGGACTCCTTGTTGGATGGCCACACTGAAAACAACTCAAGTGATGATGATCTCAGTACCACTATAGACACAACAGATGCTCATGCCATCAGGAAGCAACTGGAAGGCCTTGAGAACATGTACTCGGAAGTAAGTGAATATTATCTCAGTTGTGCGCGGGGTAGAAGTGGTCGCATTCTGTGCGAATACGCTGCAATCAAAGTTTCACATGCCTAGCAACAAATATTATTCTATAGAAATTTGAATTTGAATTACGTATATGCTCAAGATCTGTTTGCAGTAAGAGAAGTTTACAGGCTGCCATTTTATTATATTAATGGAAGCAAATTAAAATAACATAGATGGGTTGGCCGCTAGTGACATAATGTTCATATGGCGCTACTACCCAGAAGACAACCATCTTTGTACTCACTGCAGTGAAAATCTCAAATCCAGTTTTGTAATTAATATTTATTCAGGTACTAAAACTACTTGGAGTTAAGAAGTATGGTGGACGTTACCAACCGTCAGACCCCCGGATTAATAAACGTCGTCTTTATGGCAGCATGTCATCTCTACCAAGTTCAGTCAGCAGTCGGCCAATCAGAGACAAACGCAGACAAGATGAAAGAAAGAAAGTGAAAGATATTAAGGTATAAGATATTATTGTTAAGAGGAGACTTTTCTTGAACTTTGTCTGTATGACTGGTAATTTTAATCATGTGAAAATAAGGGAAAGTAAGGTGTTTGTGGTAATTCGTGTTATGTCTCATGCTCAGGGAATCAACAAGCGGTTTCAGCGGCTCGAATCACATGTGGTGACATTGGCGAGGAGCGTGGCACATCTCTCTTCAGAGATGCGAACCCAGCATTTGATGATTCAGGTATTTGAACTACTTGTAAAATGCTTTTCCATGTTGAGGTTTCTTGCTTTTTTTTTTATTGGTCTCTCCAATAAAATGTCAGAAAAACATAAATGTCTTCTCCGTATTCCTTTCCACTTTTAATTAAATAATAAATAATCATATAAATTCGAAGTACCCGTAGCATATGAACCAGTCTGAATTTCTACCACCTCCGTAAGACTTTCAGGGAGAAAAAAACTGCTTGTGGTGTTGTGTAGGAGATGGAAAACATCAGGGGGGAGATCTCGGCCCTGCGATCACAAACACTGGCAGTGAGATCTCAGTCCGTGCCTCGAGGACTGAACAATCTCCTTGCATCTGGAGACAGAGATGCCCTCACGAATCCAACTAGGGTCAAGAAACTCACCAAGTTCTTTGGAGATGAACCGCCACTGCTCAGACTGTTCCTGAAGAAGCTGGGGTATGAGGTTCGTTGGACCTATAATGCATTGAGGAGCTAGCCATGACAGTGTAAAATCATCAGTCATTGTGATGGGGCAGATTATGTTTCAAGTCACTTAGTTTTCGTTGAATTATATTGTATGAAAAATACTTTGATATGTGAGAGGTGAAGTTAGAGAGAACCTCATCTTGCGTTCTTTGGTTTAGCTTGGCGTCTGAAAATTTGTCATCCAGGACGACAGTAGTCATTTTGTTCGCGAGTCAACTAGTATGTGATCACAAAAGCAAAAGAGCTTTTGCTGAAAAGCTACTTTATAAGGATATTAAAGACTGAACACTGACAAATGTAGTTTCGGTATGTTCATAACAGTAATTATAAAATTTCTGTGGCTGATTGCAGAAGTACGCAGGGACATTTGAGCAAGAGCGTGTTGGCATGGTGGAACTCCCATACCTGACTGAAGAGAGACTGCAAAAGATGGGGATTCCCCTTGGACCACGAATACGAATCTTGCAGGAAGCCCAGGTCTCAGTCTGCAGGGACAAAATTTATGTTGTGTGAGTCTGTATTGACAAGGCACAGATCAGAACATAACCAAGCCATTCTACATATTTGTAACACATATTGCTTCTGTAATTTTAACCCAATATTCATGAAAATGGGAATACCACTGTATTCTTAATCTTAGTCAATCCCAATATTTCCTTACCCACGTGTACGTATGATGGCGTGTATTCTTTGGACGAAGTATACGAAGTGAAGAGGTAAGGGGAGTTTGTACTGTCTGTCAGCATATGCTGTTTGTGAAACAAATTGATTTTGATTAAATGTGGTACTAGGTGTCTACAGAGCTTGTTACGCAAGTCAGTACCGTGAAGGCTACAGGCTGAATGACGAGGGTTTGGTTCCTGGCAGGACAGGTTCTTTCTCTTTGACACAGTGTCAAAATTAGCCTCGTACCTTGTGGGTACCAGATTTCTTTGCTCTGGGGTGGAGTAGCTGGTATGCGAGGTGACTACTCACATCATTCTGGCACCAAAGTTAAGAATATGCCTCGAATCCCCCACACAACATTTGTAATGGTAACAGAATATTGTCGGTGGAACAGTAGCAGATGAATAAGTACTACCTGCTATTAATTGTCTTATTTGTCTTTCAACAGATAACAGGATTAATGTACAGTAAAGGAAATCACAGTGGGGAGTTGAAGGATTATGGGATGCCACCACTTCGATGATTGTGTACATGAAGGAGCAGTGTGTACTGTGAACTTATGGAAAAATGGAGATTTATGCCTACAGGGTGTTTCAGAATTATTTCAAAGCCATGAGAAACTGAGGTGGATCAACAGAACCAACATTTATAGCCTTTGCTGAGCATTCTCAAAAGGACTACCTTATTTCTAACTGGTACACAACCAAAATATGTATTTTAGAGTTTGAATTTATTTTTAAATCGTCTTCTCGCATGTGTGTACTGGTGGTGCAGATTGTGTACATCATAAAATGCTTGAAAGCCCTTATAACCGGGTCTGTCACGGTTTTCTTTTTTCTTAGGTTGGTCATACAGGTTGATTCTAGAGAAACACTAGCAGCTAAGCATTTGTTTTTAAGTTAACAGAATCTAATGACTCGCAGATGGAAATGTCATGAAGGATGAGAGAGAGGTATGTCTTTTGGTGCATGCAGTGAGTGGTGGATCCTGAACACACGCACATCTAGTTAATCAGACGGTGTTAGTGAAGACAAAATAAACCATGGTGCATCAGTTCCTGGAACAGCTCAGTCTATAAAGCGACTGCCACCACGTACTCAGCCTCTTCATGGGTGACACCAGTGGCTCCATTCCCTGGAGTAAAGTAGCCAAAATGTAAAGCTTACCTTTCTCCAACAAGTAATGCTGAGGTCTCAGCTCTTCACATCTCCTTTTCACCTGCTTACCTTAATTTATCTTTAAAAAAGGCTCGCATTTCATGTGCAGTTTGGAGAACTTTGTCTCTTGATATGAGAAAATGAACTCCAATAGATTCTTTAAACTTTGAATGTGTCCCATTCACTGTTTTCTGTTCTGAAAATAGGTTCATTTATAAACAGCAGAAAACTAAACCAGCGAGACCTAAAAAACTGTTCTACGCTCATTGCTGTGTGAGCAACTTTTGCAAGTTCTCATAGAATTTGAAAAATAGCCAAGTACCACATGGACATGGTGGGTACTACCAGAGATGGACTTATTATAAAATTTCTTCAGCCACATTTTGTCTCTTTACTCTGCCATGCTTTGGGTGGAAATAAATTTACTAATATTAAGGTTAGCACAACACCATGAGGATATACAGAGGAGTGGATCTATAGCACGACATATTCTTAACCACAGCAATGGAAGAAAGTGGATTTGATACACCTGATGAAAGATCCTGGGTACCCTTTATATAAGAGGCTAACCAAATGTGAAGTGCCCTCGCAAATTTCTGTTAGAACTGGCATATGGTCACAGCCGCACCGACACACAAGTAAATGTGCGGAATTGGTTGTGAGAAATCTGGAACTACAACATGGAAGCATAAAAGACATCTACCAAATACACTGCTAATCTTGGGAGTGGAATATTTTTGTGACATACCAAAGATTAATTACATAATCGACATTAAATACCTATATTTGATACAAGTTCATTCAACTGCCACAATAAGAGTACTTAGTTAAGATACAACTTGTTAATATTTATAGTGGTCTTTTTATGTACAAACATATTGTAAGCTGAAATATTACCTTCTTAATGTGTTGGAAACTGTGAATATATTTTACCAGTTTACTATTCAACATGGAGTACTCATTGCCACCTGGATCTTAATTCCTCTTCAGCTCACATCGAGGGACGCGTGAAAAACTTTCATGCGAAGAAGTCGAGCATTATATTTATAATATGGTAAAGTAAAGGTTTCCCCGCTATATGCCATGTAGGAGGATTGGTGGTATAGCTTGTACTCATTCTTACCTCGGCGGGGATGAAAGGTCGATGTGAAGCCCCAGCCACCCTTTACAATTTTAAAATAATGTCCAAGAAATGTCTAATTAACTACGTAGATGGTTTAGGAAACCCAAAGCCCTTCACAGGTCCCTGTCCTTAAATGTCTATGTTCGTTAAACTCTTTAGTGCTGAATCAAAAGAATTTAATTTCTTTGTTTCAATATTAATGTACAATTTTCACTGAAGAAAATCATAAATAATTTCCTGGAAATGCCATGTGATGGAAGAAGAATTTATTTGTGGTGTAATCATCATTACATTTCATTGTTTAGAGCACAATAAGATAGTAACCAAGGAACATCGATTACGGAATGGAAGTGGTTACAATGCCAATGTGCAAGAACTACCAATGAATCACAAATATTAGAAGAACGAACAAATTGTCTGCCAAGTCGGCACCTTCCATGCTCTTTACAACAGCTTTTCAGTGCAGCCAATTTCCTCTGTGAAATTTCCCATTCTTAGCATGTAATTCATATGATGCCAACTACATCTTTGTGTGGCCAGGTGGTTGGTGACTCACTTCTCACCATGAAGGACTGGGTTCGCTCCCAGGTTGGTCCATCTGTGGTGGACAAAGTTGCACTGGGACAGGCTGCAGTAAAATTCACACACATACACTCCGTCTCAAAAGACAATAAGGATCCTTGCGTTAAATTTTTTTTGTATTTAACACACTTAGCTCTTGGTGATTTAGGGGTCTTGGACCCCCTTGGCCAATCTATTCTTCCAGCTTGTGCTATCCCCAAGAATCTGTACATGACTAGTCAAAATTTGAAATCTAAGAAACCACAACATCAATTCTACTCTGAGAGCCTCGTCTTTGATGAAACTCGACACGTGCAAAAGAATAACGTGCCTTAAGCTTGGTTCTCACAACCTGTCATTGATGTGAGACATATTTAGTTACGTAGCTATAATTTCCATCAGATGCTTTACATCTTGTAACTGATTTTATTTTACTATGTCAGAAGGGGCAGGGCCCTTTTAATTCTACTACATTAGTTGGTGTGGGAGGGACCAGCCACATAAATGCAACTTCATTCTAAGTTCTACAATACAACATCTTTCTTTGTACAACTGTAAGCGCCCAGCATCAGCTGTCATCAATGCTGCTTCTGCTTGACAAATCTCGCCACTTGAGGGATTCCAATGAACAGTAAATACGGTTTGACGGCATGAAGTATGAACTGGCAGACGTAGAACAGCCGCACGTCACTTGTTGGAACGGCATCAGTAGCGAAGTTGAATGCCACCATGAGAAACAGGGTGCAGATCATTGTGATGATGATATTGTTGTGAGTCTGCTTGTATATTCTGACACAGAAACAACAATTTATTTTTGTAGCTGCAACAGACTCACGATGGCTAGAAAATATAAACTGAAGCTGGCATAATATAGGTACGCATCCTTTGAGAACATGAAAGAAAAAAAAGTTCTGCATGAAGAACAACCTGGGAGATCACGCGAGGGAGGGAAGGTACATGAGAAATAGTGATGAAAAGGTGGATACAGAAACAAGATAAGTGCTAATGGGAAAACAGAGAAGATCATTTACATCGCCGCTATACTGTACCTGGTTGTGGCAGGAGATGCCATTGCGAGTCCAAACATACTGCCACAATCACGCACCAGCGAGAAGAGTGGCGTAGTGTTCACATGGATCCAATCAGGTTGCTCGCACCACTTGAACGCCAGGCGCACCGACCACTGCGGGTCCACACCTGTATAAATGTAAAGCGTAAGACCCTACAAGTTGAAAGGATTGAATGTGTGAAATTCGTGTGCTTTCAATACAATTCAATGTTTGTCTTCTGAGCTGTAACACCACGTACACTCGATGGTAGGTATAAACATTTCGGACAAGATTACATCTGCTGCAAAGTACCTAGTAATCTCTGCAACCAGTATGCACCAAACGAGACCGCAATCATAGCAACACCACCAAGGAGCATCTGCAAACGGGATGCCGAACGCCACCGTTCTGTCAGTGTGTACTGTCCTTCCTCAATAAAGAGCCAAGCAGTAAACAAACCTGAAATCACAATAAGTTTTCTTTAAAATTCTGAGCATTACAGTTCAGTTAAACTGTTGAATTTATTTAACAGTACAGCAATAATTTGCCGAACACAAGGTTATGTCCCTTTAAAACAATGCAGGTGGCAGGAAAATGGCCTTATGGAACACTTGTGGTTAAGGGAACTGTAACAGCTGTTAATACTATCAGAGTCTAATTATGTCGCCTGTTACTTCGAGCAAAACACATAGGCCTAATTATACTAGACACACAATATGAAACGACACAATATAATGGTAACTGGTAAGTTACAAAAGTGGTTTCAGAGGATAATACACCCCCCTTCCCCTCCATAAAATGAGAAACAATTTCAGCATAACAGATTCACACCAAATGATGAACAACTTCAGTGGAAAAGTACATTTATGAAACCACAAAACAATTAGCAATTTAAATTATACTACCAGCTACAAGACCCAGAAGCGTCTGATGCGGGAAATGCGTCGCTGTGTACAGTCTTGAGATGCTGACCAGAATCATGAGCAAGGTGTACAAAGTCCACAGTGTGACTCTTACATAGCGCTTCATACTGCCATCCATCTTCTTGCTGGACACGATGAAAGTACGAATGACGTGCTGCAATACAACATACATGAGTGAAGAGGCTCCCTGCACGTGACCTGACGGGGAGCCAGGTCCAGTTTCACATGTTAGTGGGGTCTGTCGCAGGAGAGGGCGAAGGCCTTTGCCATACACATTTGTCTCATGCACCCACCAGAATGGCCGATGATCCATGAGCAACCTATAAGCAAACATCAAAAATTCTGAATCAAGCAAACAGGCAGACAGGTGAAGAAGAAGAACATTGGTCCTTCTTATAACATTTTCCAAGAGTACAAACCACTTTGTTTAAAATACAATATTATTTACCATTTGAGAAGTGTGTTAAACCACTCTGCCATGATGGACACCATTAGCATGTCTGCTGCCAAACCTGTATTCAACCCAGCAGTCAGTGGTACCAAATATGTAAACGAATACAGTGGGTCAGCAAAGTAAGAAATTGAAAAGAAAAAGTTATCACCTCTAGGAAACCTGAAAGAAATCACAAAAAACGTACAATTTACTGCTTGTAAATAGGTTTTAAATTAAGGAAGTATGCTGCTTTAATTCCACTGCTTAGCAATTGGTATCTGAAAACTTACGTTGTCTGTATGGACTTAATACCTAATGCTCCTAATCTTCGGACCTCCTCTGAGATATTCATTGTTTCTCCTGAAAACCATAAATGACGTGTAACCTTACAATAAAGTACAGACATTTCCGAGTGACAATTTTAATTAATAAAACATGTCACCTTAACGTTAATACAGTAAGACTTGTTTGACCTTCCTAATAAATATGATATACTAGCAGTAATGTATTATTCTACGTATTTCCTTCATTCTCTAACAAAAGAACATTTTTTTACAAAATTATGCTACAGAACCCGACCGACCAAAATATTTAACTTCAGTATCGCTATTTCGATCTTCATATATTTTTCGACTTTTGGCTGGGTTAGTTTCATGTGTGTTGGAACTCATGGGGTCAGTTTTGAACTGTTCAGAAATTACTCGGCGGTGAACATCACAGATAATACAGTTGCGTTCTCACGGCGTCACAACCTTTGAGAGTACCCCAAGGACAAGGCAATTTTTTAGCACTCGTACTGAAACAGGAACAGTAACTTCTGACATCTGTTGATGAAATTAGAACTAACTATGAAAGGGTCATGAAGACGACTGTCGGCTGGGATGTTGCAGAGAAACTTATTGTAGAGGCCTGACTGCTTGGCTACCCTGACTGAGGTTTTCCGTGCTTTTTTTTTCAGTTATAAACTCATTTAAGCCACTGCTCGGCTATCATATAGACCAATTTAGAAATTACTGTGAAGGTGAAAGCGCGGAACATAAAGTATGAATGGGATTCAAAGCAGTAACTTATGGAATATACAACACCGTTCTTGCCCCATTCCGCAGTGCTCCACGCCCAAGTCACCAGCACAGCAAGGCAGACAATCTCCACTGACCGGTCGTTCCCACGTGAAAAAGCAGCAAGACAGTGACTCACCCCCTTTCCAAGGTCTGTTTACTTCTACGTTATTACCTTAGTTTCAGTAAGAATGCACGTGCACAGTTAAAATGGGGCAGGGATCGGATGATCAACTGTACCTTCCATAAAGACAGTTCAAAAACAATCAGGAACACAGCAATTGAATTCTCTGTTTAACATAAGGATTACAGAAAAGTTTTATCTTGGCTTTCGTTAAATATGGACATAAAATTAAGGGTAAATACGGGCCTCTTTGATGCCATATATACCAAATATACCTCAGTATGAATTTTGAAATAAGTGGCCACCATCAGGCCTAATCTGATTCATTTCAGCGAAATTTAAATTTATTTTGTTTGTCATATTCTTGGTCTAGTTGTTTGCCAATTTCTTATATAGAATAGCGTCTGATGGCAGAATACGGCTCTATATCTGCATCTGGATCGAGGGACTGAGAATATACAAGAAAACCTCGATCGGAATAGGCAATCTTGCAGTCAGGATCAGGCCTCTCGGTTACCAGGCATTACTCACCCCTTGGAGCAGCATACGAGATACCCAATGAATAGCTACGTACAAAATATTCGCACGCTTCGATATTTTCGCGTTTATATTGTTCTTTGAATTCTTTCTGTTAATCATATTATAAAATCAGCCATTAGTTACGTGATAACAGAGACATCTGTCGGAAAGCATTAATCAGCCATTTTGGCGGTTAGTTCAGAGAGTCCTTGGATCGCGTATGGAGTGGACTCAACGTTACGTGCTTGCCAATTTTCTGTGCATCCAACCGCTTGTAGTAGGCCAGCTTGGATTATAGTGAATTTAATCAACAAATTGAAAGTATTTATTGCTTAGTATTAATTAATTAAGTTTGTAGTAGCTCAAAAATGTTCATAAACTACTTTACACAAGTTTGTTAGTTGAGCAGTGAGTGGGGTCCATCGTGACTTTAATGAAGTTTATAAGTTAATAGTTTCTTAAATTCTGCAGTAATAATTTTAACTTAGATCAAACGTAAATATTACGAGGATAGAAATTGCATAATTACTATGTAGAGAAGTCATTAGTTGTCACTAAAATTACTTGGAGAATTCGCATTAATTATGGCGCCATTTTTGACGATAGGAAAGTTTATTGCAAGCGATGCAGCCATATTTGATTTCCCAGCTTCTTTCAGGCGCCAACATGAATATTACAACTTACGATAAAATTTATGTGTGAATGTGGAAACACTCAATATAACACTAAAATTATTTTTTTTTAAATTTACTAATAAAATGCGTAATTAAAAAATTTATTGGAAATTCTGTAGGAATTTTAGCGCCATTTGTGACGACAGCAAAGTTTATTTGAGAAGATGTAGCCATTTTGGAATTTTAAGATTGTTTTTGGTGCAAACATGAATATTAAAACTTACAACGAAGTTTATATGTGACTGTAAGGAAATATTCATTTTCCGGTTTAGGATGTTTTAATTAATTTCATTCATTTATTTGTTGTGTTGTATTTTCTGTGTGCTAGAAATGACCGTCTTCCAAAAATAATGTTAGAATGCTTGCACTAAAGTTCCAAGAACAAGTCTCGGGCACTCGGGAGCCATGGACAGGCCGAATGCACTAGAGTGCAGATGTTAGAATGAGTCATTAATTCGTACGTAGTGTTTTTACTGGGGATTAGTGGAACCGTTCTGGAAACCAAGCAAATGCAAATAGTTTTAGCTGACATCCGCCATTTTATGCACTGTTATAAACAATAGAATTGTATAACGCCATTTCTCTTACGGTTTTCGAGAGGCGGGCGCTTAACGAGATGAACAATAATAATGTATAGGAATCCCTTACCTCAAACTTTGTTCAATTGTAAGAGACCACGACGTCCACCCGCACTGACCAATTTAATCAAAACTAAAATGGAGAGAGTGGAGGGCAATATCACAGATTTCTTAATAATTCTTACCTGTGATATTCTAAAACGTTTTTAACAGCTCAAAATTCTCTACTATACGACGCACTTCTTCAAGAAGCTACTCACAGCTCAGCTCTTTCCGCAATAACGAAAGCGGATTGTTGACGACAGTAATGAAACACAACAATGCCGAGTAAACAGATGACAAAACAATTAGTTTCTTAGGTAAAGGATTAAAGCATTGTTATGCAAGCAGGAGTTCATATAAAAGCTGACCATTGTCCATGGAGGCCATCAGCTGAAGTGATCTTCCCCCCATGCCGCAGAGGCCTTCAGCCGAAACGGCCCCTCCCTCTCTGGGTTCATACCCCAGAGACCCAACCAACCAAATTCCTTCGACAACTTGCCTGACAGGATAACCTCCCATCAGCAGCAACAAATCCCAGTTTGAATGGTCGAGGCTCCCGCCACGACGAAACCCCGTTAGCGTTAGCAAAATTTCCGTTCTTATATTACGACCGTTTACCATTTCCAGCAATGCGTCTTGTGCGCAGGAATGGTTTCACCTAGGTAGGGACGATGCTTGCGCTTGCGCAGGCCTCTGCCCTCAGTTAGCTTCTTTGGTTGGTTGGTTGGTTTCCATATTAACACATTGTTGGTATGGATCTTACACATTTTCCTAACGCTGTTTTGCGAATGACCCTTTCGTGTAGACGTATTTACGTCAAAAACGCATTGCGCGAATAATTAGATGTAATTATTTTATGTATTTTTTAATTATCGATAAACGGGCATCCGTGACGTTTACATTTTGCGTTTCACGTTCCAGTAGACGCAACCGAATTAAGATTTTACGTATTGAAAAAAAGTTACTGGCGTTGAAATACATTTTCAATCGAATGCGTCATTTTAGATCAAGCTGAGTTGACACCGGACTTATTCTGGCGACCAGTTCCTTCATGAGCAACAAGGTAAGTGCAGGGAGGGAACTTTGCAGGTTGGACTTCGTTTTATCTTCGAATTCAACGGAGTGTCGTGACAAAGCAAGTCTGGCTTCCGTTCTCACGTGATAGTCGAAGTAAGGAAGATAATTTTGGCGGCGTTTAATTTTCGTCATTAAATGTCTCGGGTTGACGGCGTTCAACTGTGAATATCGTATTTTAAATTCATTTGATTTGTACTTGATGATAAGTTCGACTGCAATGAACAGATTTTTCTCTCAGTTCGTGATAAGAAATACGAAAACGTACAGCGAATCCACCAAGAATTGTGCGTCTGAATTTACATTTACATGAAGACAATAAGAAGAAGGGAGTCAGAAGCAGGGGTAAGTTGTCTGAGGTGATTTTTTGAATTAACCTCAAGTTGTTTGTTACCGTTCTGACAGAACGTGTTTCGTTTGTTTCAGGCCCCGTGAAAGTGTGTATCATTGAGATAACCTGCTTACCAGTTTACGAAATTTCTCTAATCACTAATGTTGGTGAGGATGGCGAGTTGTGCAGACAGGATGCCCTCTTAAAAGTCGACCAGATGGGAGTGCGCCGTCAGCTTCACGCTCCGCCTTCTTCATCCACGTGGATAGGCGTCAGAATACCATTTCTGGTTGCTCAGCTGGCCAGGGGAAGTGTATCGACAAGGGATCGAACGCGTCTCCTACCAGAATAGATGCACTTCGTTTCGTAACGAGGATATAAAATATATCACGCATGTCAAGGTAATTTTATGTGGTGTCTGTTTTGCGTAATAAATAATTAGCAGCTTTTGTGTTGATTTCTTTGTGTATTTGCTTACATTTATATTGGAATGTTGTAATAGAGGATTTCAGATGACGTTATTTCTTACCAAGGTGATGGCACATTTTCGTTTCGAATTAAGGCGTCGGAACAACTGAATGTCTGGGCCTCGGCTGGCTTCTTGCGGTGTTGATGTTATGTTCTGTCGTTTGTCGTCGCTGCCGATCCAAGGAGGTTTGAGCACGTGTTTCTGTCTGTGACCGCTAGATGGTGCATGCAGCTACCTTCTCGAAATACATTTATAATTTTTATAACGTGGGTTGATTTTAATACTTGAATTCTCCATCTGGCCTTATTTGATTTGTAACCACATTTATAAAATTTTGCAGCCTTTTTTTTTTCCTGCCCTGGTATGAACAAAGATACTTTGGGCAATTGCTGGAATATAATACATCCATCCGTGAATGTATTGAGCGCACCACGGTTTGAAATTTAAAATTTTAATTCTGAATTAATTACAACTTCTACGTATCCGTAAGTTGATGAGTTATATTGAACTGTGAGGCTCTTAAATGTCAAGGATAATTCTTAAAGGTGTGTAAGATTTCAGTTTAGCCACAGTGAAGTGTCAGCAGATCGGAAGGGTTTTGATGAAATATATAATAGGCCCGCTATGAAGACCTATAGTCAGATTATTAGTGATCTAGAAGACACTTTTGTATTCTAGCCTTTGTACAGACTCTGAGACAGTCTGTTTATTAATACAGGGCGAGCCATGAAATTTGTTAGTGTAAGACCACAGACTGTTTTATTTTAAAGCGATGTTTAAAAATCGATCGAGAAAATTTGTCTGCATTGAGACACGTTAGTTAGCAGTGATGAATTCGGCATTCTCTGAAAATACGAACACAGACGAATTTTAATTTCAATTAAGATCTAAACTAAAGTCATTTATTGTTTTTAATTGATACCTATATGCATTACAAAATCAATATCGCATAAAATACAGTGACTAAAATAATTCTAAAATACATATTTACGTATCTGCTAAATATCTTTGTATGATTTATATTCAGGTATTTTACGTTACCATGAAAACAGAGCCAGTGCGAATATTTTAATCAGGTTAATTAGGCTAATTACTTAACAATACAAAGGAAATAAAATAACTTTATTTCTATGCTTTCGGAAACACGCGATGGTGGAAGAAAAATGAAGTTACTTTGAAATGAATATGTCATTATTGAGGATGATTTGAAGCTTTTCATTTTTAACTTTTATATTTTTATATAAGAACACGTATTGCAGAATATATCTCTCTGCGTCTAATAAATCTTATGGTGTCGATATCAAACGTCCTGTTTTCCACACAATTTTTAACATTTCAACTGTTTAACACTCTCCACTCGGTTGTTTCTCAATCCAGATGTACAAATTATTACTTGCTTATTGCCTAATGTGCATATTTTATCTGCTTTAATGTTCCCCCAATTAGCGGGCAAAGAATTTTGTTGGAAATTGCACTTTCAAACGTTTTAGTTTAGAAAGAGGCATCTTTACTTTTGTAATTAGAATTTCTAACACACGCATAGATTCATCATCGATAGTTTTCTTCAACATGTGCTATGATTTCATCTCACGTGTCTGCATTCTTACAGGACCAGGTTCTGTATGCAGATGAATATTTATAGTCACACATGTTTAGAAGACGTTTCGTGGTGTGCCATCGTTTGTCTGAAAAAAATTAAGGCGTGCCGAGTGTAAAAAATGTCTGGTTTATAATGTTGTCCTTGACACATGAATTATTGTTCAGGGCATTCATTTTTAAAATTGACAGCGATCTTTAAAATATTCGTTAATTGACAGCAGACAATTTCAATATTGTGAACGACTTATTTGTACGTTGTGTTAAAAGTATTCTGTCGTGGGATATGTTTTATTCGAATGTCTATGTTTTGGTCATTTTTATTTTTGTACTCCGTACATACAGAGCTAAGCTATAAGCTCGCAGAGTGAGGAGGATTATGTTATTACAGATTATGGATAATAACATTTTATTACTGATATCTTTTCCCCATTTGAGAAATTTTTATAGTCCTTTTTAAAAGAATCTGGGGCATTCTGTGGACGAATAAACAACACATCGCTGTTTATGATCAAATAATGAGAAATGTAGAAGCAGATTTGATCGCATTTCTCGTGATATGTTACCCAGCAGAGACTCAAAACAAAACACTATTAAATGCCGTACTGAAAATGTCATATTGCTCGTAAAATTTACGTACATATTACGAAGTTACGTGTATCATCTTTTCCACAAATGTAAGCCCTATGTGTGATTTATCAACATTCTTCCAATGATTAATTATATTACGTCACACAATGGCAGATCTAGACTTATGTATTACTTTAATTACAGGCACACAACCATTCATTTAGCATCTAAATATTATATTTTGTTCATGCGTGCTATCTTGTGGCCTGCTGATTAACTTCTCGGTAATAAATCCACTAATTTAAGTAGCATGAAGAATAAATGAAGTCGCTTTAAAAAAAATACTACCGTTGGGATGTGGCGTATTCTATAGCACAGTTCTTCATTTGCTTTAATCAGAGGCGATGTGAATATTATGTTCATAGACACCATAGAAAGTTGATATACGCCGTGCGCGGTCAAAATATGCATCTTTTTGTAAGGTGATATAATCGTACCTGAGATAATTTATGAATCTGATACGAAATGAAAACGATGTTTGTTGTTGCAAAACCTAACCTAACCTAACCTAAATATGCTTTTATCTTCCGCTCCTGTACAAGTATTCCTATGTTTTTCATCGAAATTTATATGATTTGCACTATTTCTCTGCGAAAGTTAATCTGTGTAAAAATGGGTTATCATTTTCTCTTTCCAGTCGTGTTATTTGTCTGTCAGTAATGATATTGTTCACTGCGAAGTAATTGTTACTGTGCAAGTAACATTACACCTTCAGAAACTTTCAATCCCAAGCCACGAACAGTAGCACCAACTCGCGAGTCACGTGTGACGTCATCTGTCGTGAACTGACGTCACTGATTGAGAAAAAATTAAGCATTTCATATGCAATAATCGAATTCTTGAGCAGTTGGTCGCACGTTCTTGCATCGCAACGCATATCCGACACAAGGCAACTTTCTCTTAACTGGATTTGAGCATGAGACGCATTCCTCATTACCATGGTGCGATTTCAACCAGCAGTTTTGCTGGTGATACCTAAAGCAGTACCGAGTTCGTCTCGGGCAGCTTTACGGATACAATTCCTCCCACGAGCAGAACAGCAGCGGCTGTCAACATGGGGGCCGCACGGCTCGCGGTCACCAAGTTGCTGAACGTAATAGCTCCGAGCATGCCGCCTAGCCGACATGTAGCACTCACGAACCCATATCCGGTCGTTCTGGAAAAAGAAACCCAAAAAAAACCATCGGTTACCTGCTGTTAAGTCATGCCGTGTTTGAATGCGTCAGTTACGAAGCACAGTATTTGAATGGTCGTACCTGAGATGTGTGGGGTAAGACTCGATTGTGGCTATGTTCATTGCGTTCCACCCCGACATGAAGATGAAGTTGAAGACGGCTTCGTGAATTTCCATCGCCGTGCTTGAAGACAAGAACCAGATGCACAACGCGTGTACACTTGACAGGAACATCGACAGACCTACAACGCATTTATAACGTTCTCATTAATACGTTCTTTCCGTCATGACGAGCACGTTTCTACATAAATTTTCTTTCAAGGCAGAGTTTTCTTTGCCTTCTTTGGTACGTATTCTGGGAGACATTCTTTCCTTCCCCACCGACATTCCTTCTACCCGTACTTTCATTCCGACTCTCGTTAAACTCTCATCTTTGTTTTGCGATTCATTCGACATGCCCTTGTTTCCGACTCACCAATTATCTTAACACGTCCTAGCTTGCCGATGGCAAGTGCTGATAACAAGGCGCCTGGCAGGATGGCGATCTGCCCCACCAGGTGTTCGTGGAACACTTCTTCCAGGTAGATGTTGTAATCGAAGTCCAACGGACATCCGGCAGAGAGACTCAGAACGGTGACGTTGGTTATCAAACAGTTCTCGAAGTGCTGGTCAGTAAGGTCCGTGTCCACAAACCTGAGATACAAGACCTTAAATTTAAACTTCATATCCCTCAGTTATTACTCTGAAAAGACTCTAAGTTAACATTGCAGTGTTGCAAGTTCTGAGCTGTCTTCACTCGCTCGAGCCCCGCTGTTCGTTTTGAAATGTTACGCGAGTTTTCTGTGACCCTGAAGCGTGCTATCGTCACAGAAGAGATTCGAATACACAGTTTGAGACCATGAGATGTGTCGCTGTCCTGTCAGGTTACAAGAAAATTTGCACACCAAAAAAAAAAAGGTTATAAATGGCCGACCTAAGCTGCAGATCTACAGCCAGAAGTACCAGGATTTGTTATCCGAAATTTCATTTGTCCAAAAGTCGGGAACAGAATGTTCAGTCAAAATTCTTCTTACCGGGAGTCCTTGATGATGGAGTTCCTGAAGTAAGTGCGACTGGTCTTGATGATCTCGAAGCGAACGTCCTCAATCGTGCAGTTGTCGAAGTTGACGTGGCTGAACGTCATGTGATGGAAGGAGCAGTTCTTGAAGAAACTGTCTACCCAGCGGATGTTTTCGACGGACGTGTTGAAGGCGCTGCCGTCGTACGTCGCATTGGAGATGAGACTGGTCCGAGATTCGTATTCCCGGGTCTTAAGCAGCTGCATATACTCTGGGAACCACGTCGTCAGACCGTAATACCTGCAACACTCGACAGTGTGAACAGAGCTTCGGGGAAAAAAAGCTGATCAGCGCTACGCGTCCTTGTGTATAGATCTTGTAAACATGGATTCACTTACTGGTGACGGAGTTGAAGCCTTAAAAATTATAATAGATTTATGTGTGACGAATTCATATCTCCATTGGCGTTATACTTTATACTGGTTACAGTAGTAATGTTGAGCAACCTGAAGCAATTCTGATATATAATGACTTCATCTCGTATCAGTCAGGGCTGCTAACACGTGCTGATATGTATTTAATAAAAACTCGTATCCAAATAGTATTTAAGAATTCAGTCCGTACCGCGAAGAAAACACAACACTTTACCATTACAAAAGAACAGCTGGTTAACCTTGTTTAAGGAAATAATACGACTAAAACGCTAATTAACCTTTGGAGCCGAAGCTTTTTCAAATGAAACTTACGAATTCAGTCCGTACCGCGAAGAAAACACTACACTTCACCATTACGAAGATCAAGTGGTTAACCTTGTTTAAGGAAATAATACGACTAAAACGCTAATTAACCTTTGGAGCCGAAGCTTTTTCAAATGAAACTTACGAATTCAGTCCGTACCGCGAAGAAAACACTACACTTCACCATTACGAAGATCAAGTGGTTAACCTTGTTTAAGGAAATAATACGACTAAAACGCTAATTAACCTTTGGAGCCGAAGCTTTTTCAAATGAAACTTACGAATTCAGTCCGTACCGCGAAGAAAACACTACACTTCACCATTACAAATATCAACTGGTTAACGCTGTTTAAGGAAACGATCGATGTTTACAGCGAGAATCATACGAAATAACAGAGCTTTAAAGGGTTAAAGCTACAGGCTGCTGTGATGTGCGATCTAAAATGTAAACTCACCCAAATGAGGCTGTGAACCAAAGGACGATGAATAGGAGAGTGACTTGCAGATGCGGCTGCACAAACAGTTGCAGGAATGAGTTCCAGAACTGCCAACATAACAAGTCAAAATAAAGTTTTACACCAGCCGTGGTTTTATATTTGTGTCACTCAGACAATGATTAAAATATTTTGAATACATGATATATTAGTTTTTAAATTTTTACGGTTACTAAATACATTAAATCTTTTAGGGCAAAGACTCCACAACTAACTCCCTGGGGACAGAGTCCTTATTGAAACGATAATGATTGCTCTGCTAGTCCACAAGCTCCTCCTTGTTTATCGAACTCGAAGATTCATTTCTGTGCTCAAAAGAGTCCTTCACCAATACCGATCCCACACCGTTTCCGTATGCTACTGGAGTAACATTCGTAACGTGCTGGTGTTTTACGGCGAGGAATTGTTAGCGTCCCCGCTCAACCCTTATCGGCTGTCCGCACCCGTAGGACGTGCCATGTCGTGTTGACACGGTCAAAGAATCCGTGATCATAAAAATGAATAACTGATTTCCTTTTCATTTTACTTATAGATTGATTGATTGATTGATTGATTGATTTGTGAGTCTATATTATTCTAAATATTACATTGTGCATGAAATTCGACCACGTTCAGCGTCACGACCCGGACAGAAGGGACTCCGGTACCCATGGGTAAGAGACTAGGTGGGCATCAGAGCCGGTCTGGATGCAGAGAAAGGATCCCCTGCTCCTGTCGGGGATCGAACCCCGGTCATCCACTCCGAAGGCAATCACTATGGAAGATATCATTGGTACTCAATTTCTGAGGCATTAGGAGGGAGAAGGGGCGCGTTGTGTTTGAGAACGTGCGTGGGGTTTGGGGTGTTCTCTCACCATTTCGATGCTGTAGATCATGTCAGCTAACACAGACTTGCCCGGTGGTGGCGGCGATGACAAACCCCGACCGGAAGGCCGCTTGCTGGGCAGCTCCAACTCTGATAACTGGTACTGCGCATGCGCTGCAGGATTGTGCATGTTGTTGGTCTTGTAGATTCTCTGAAAAATTGAGATTTTGGTTAAATGTCGTCCTTAAAAGTGTTAGCCGGGCTAATGCGACTTTTGAAAGGATTTTGATTAGGTGGAAATGTTCTTCTGGGTCTTGACGTCGTGAAGACTCGCACGTATTTAACCGACGTTTCGTAGGAGCATGCTGTCTCCATCTTCAAGGCTTAAGTCCGTTTTAAGCCCTAAACATGGGAAAAGATATGTTTTTTTTTCCAAACTTTGGTGTCTATCTGAGAGTCTACACGGCGTCAGAGCGACACTGTCATTTTCATAGCCGTGAGAACCTTAGATCTCACATTAATATATAAGGGAAATCGGCTGTGGAGGCGGAAGACGTTCATGATCTTGCCAGATGGCGGTTACCTGGTACACCATCATGGCTTCAACCTCCCTTCCTGCCTCCAGCAAGTATCTGGGTGACTCGGGAAGGAACACGAGTCCAATGATGGCGACTAGAGAGGGCAGCGAGCACAGGAGGAGCAGCTGATGCCACGCACTGAAGTGTTCTTTGTTATCGATGACTACGCCAATACCTGCGAGACGAAGCCAAACATTGTTAATGATCCGCGAAGTCCGGTTATGACGATGTTAAATACAACGTTAACGCACTTATAACGAGCCGATGGACAAAAACGCTCCAGAGTGACCAAGAGACCTGTCTTGAAACGCAATAAACCGTACGTTACTGGTTACGTAATATCACCACGTGCTACATAACCTGTGCGTGGCAGTATAGCCCAGGCGGTCAGGGCGACCAAAACTCCGCCAAGTGGCCAGAAGACGACGAGTCGGCTGAGGTACTTGCTTCGATCTGCCTTGCACAAAAACTCGCTGTAATACGCGAAGACGATGGGCAGTGAACCGCCGACACTGTGGGACGAAAACATTAATTACGTTCCACACACACACATGTGAAAATCGCTTTATGACGTCATGTTAAAAGTTTCTCTTGACGCTTGGTGTAGCTATACGATATTTACACTACAGTCCTTTTGAATATCGATAATTGCTTAAGGAAACTTTGCGGGAGTGTCTGTAATCTCTCATTTCCAATTCCCTCATTTTTGATTTTTACCATTTTACGCGTTATAATCTGAGCTGTAAAGACCATGGAGGAATTAAAAACCACCACAAGGAAGGTGGAGGTGGCGTGTCCGTTTGCACTTACCCGACGGCAGAGCAGAAGCGAGCCGTCATGAAAGTGCCGTAGGTTGGCATGAACGCCGAGATTACACTGAATACCGCGTTGACGCCGAGGGCCGACATCAGAGTTCTGCGACGTCCCATGCGATCAGACAAGTTACCCCACACTACCCCTCCGACCATCATGCCCAGGAACGTGATGCCACCTGCAACACAAGGGGTAGGGCTGACGACCTCGATACACCCTGCGATGACCGAACCACAAGGTTCATCGTTATGAAAATTCAGGTTCTCACGGCGGATAGTATCTTCGCCTTTATGATGGAGGCAGTAACCACGTCCGAAACCTAAAAAGACGTTAATAATCGTATTCACAAGACCCCTTCATTTGAATCTTTTCTGAACGAGTTCATTCCCAATCTGCGGAAAGCTTACTATATATCACAAATTTACAAAGTATTTGTGCAATATACATTTTAATATTATCTTCTCATCTCTGCTTAGGTCTTCCAACTGGCCTGTTTGCGAAATTACTTTAAAAATTCAAGTATTCCTCATTTCCCCCACGCGTAGTACGCATTGACCTGAATTGCCCTCCATAGCCCAGTCATTTCAAGTGTAGGTTAGTACAATTTGTAAAGTTCTCATTACGTAATTCTATCTACCTGTTGCTTCCTTTCGTTTAACAAGACATTGTGGTATAAAGTTATACATTATGAAGGAATTCCATGTGTTATAACTTGCAAGTTGTTTTGAGTGAGGTTTTCCGTAGTTTTCCTCAGTCGCTTAAAGAAAATTACGGGATATTACCCTAAACTAGGCCTCGACTACTTAATTACAGATATTTTCCAGCTTATTATTCATTAATTATTCTGCCATCCGAAGTTAAACAATCTGATCTATTGAGAAGTCTTTCAATAACGAAAAAAATAAACAAAATAATAAACCTATATTAATCCCAGTTAGGTATGCAGAATTGCTAAAAATATATTGACTACGTACCTGTGCCTGTTATGCGTAAATTATTAAAGGCCTAATCGTTACCATGGCAACGCTTTAAAAGAATTTCCAATGTTTCTGTGTCTTTGTGTGATTTATGCTGAAATTATTAATTTTTGACGTGGTGACGGCGTTGAGGGATTTTTGGCCGTAAGATTTACATTACTGACCATAGACCCAGTGCCTCTGACGCTAACAGTTGCCATGTCTGTCCCACAATTCCTCTTTGACAGTTATTATTATCACACGTGAAAATGTATCAGTCTCTTTAGAGATCTGGACATTTAGTGACGTTTAATCGGTTCAGGGTCTAACATTATTTTAAAATGAAAGGGCTGTTATCTTCAGGTACCAAGTAGCAGAGCTGGATACTTACTGAGCCAGGTCTTTTGAGACGCGTTAATGCAGAGTTCAAACTCCGCGCTGGGCAGGATGTAGGGTAGAACGAATAGCTCAACCGTGTCAGCCGCGAGCCCCAGTCCTGACGCAAACATCAGCGTCCACTGGGAGTACCCGAACCCGGCCTGCGAACACACGTCACTTCCGCTAGAACTTCAGAGCTTTAATTAATATTCACGTAGGCCCGTAATTTTCGAGTCCTTTCATTTCGAAATTTCATATTCGACACACTTCCGTTCCATGATGTCAGTCTTTGTTACGATTTTTGTACGAAGATGGCTGACTTCTGGGTTGTAGCGCCGTGTAGTCTGCTAGAAGTTTACCGACGTTTCAGAGGTACTTCCTGCGTCCTAAGACACGGAACTAGATCCCAGAAGACAGCCATTTTCATATTCATCGCCATGACAACCCCAAATACTGCTAAGCGAGTTCGCATTACGATGACGAGCCAAGCATTGGGTATGCGCTTCATTATAAAAGTTTGTTCGTGCAAATCTTCTTAAAGCGAGGACTCGCTCTGTATCTTATATGCGTCATGTTTGTGTTTGATTAAATATATTTATTTTGTACAGTCTATACACAAACGTTTGAAGTTTATTGGTGTTGTAAAAATTATATAATATTAAAACATTTTATTGTGTAAAATATTATATTAGCGCTCTTAATCGTAAATACGATTTTACATTATATTTTTAGCGCTTTTATTAAAACGACATGTTTCGACGGGTAATACCGTCGTCTTCAGGTTTTTATCAATTTAAAATATTTTAAAAGCTATTAGATATTTGATGCAATGTATTATAATGATCCGTAGTTCTGTTTGTAGCTTTCCATTTTCATGGTAAGTTGCTTATTGTAGTCAGACGTTTTATTTATCTGTGGAATTAATGTTTAATTATTTTCTGCTGTATTTCAATGCATAGTTCTATGCTCCTTAATTCTCTTCCGCGCACAGGGAAGCTATCCGTTTAATCAAGAGCTGGAATTCGGTAGCCCCCTGGAACATAGAGGATCCTGGGTGCAAGTTGGCTCCGGTTAAAACTGGCATGGGGCCATAACATTGTACCTTTCTCTTGAAATACTGACGGACGTTTTTCTCTCTTGTGTGGGCGTGTTGTCAAGAGCACACTTGCCAGCTTCTGATGTTATATAGAATTCGCTGTTTCGTGTATAAGCTGTATTTGTCTTCCGTGGGCTACGTAACTTCGTATCGCTATCAATTCTTGGGATTCCGAACGCCACTGATTTGCAACTTTTACGGCTTCACATGACTGGTGATTTTAGGGTACTTTCATGTTTAACACGGCACTTCATTATCTGATATCATCACCATCCAGCTGTTTTATTACGCTCGTGTTGCATCTACCCCCAATTTCCGTTTATTTATAGTTTATTCGACGAGGCTTTTAGTGCTTAGTGTATACAGCGTCAGATGAGAAGATTACAGTGACCGATATATTGGAAAGGATGTGGATGTAAGTGGTCGTGGCCTACTTTTATAGTCGCATTTATTTGCAGACCATTTTATGATGACAGTACGCCACTGTTTCATGTGCACAGTTTTTACAATATTCATATTTTGTACGATCTATATGCTTATTATTTAACTAAACACAGCTGTGCTGAGTTACTGCACGCCACTGCTTTAATCCGCCGGACGACACTCTGTTATCTAATGAACGGTTATTTGCCCTGAACGGTTTCATCTGCACGCCACTGTATCATTTCTCACGTTAGATCTTGCTATCTCTCGAGAGACTACATCCACTTCTTCAGTACACCTCAACATAATTATTTGCCGGCACCTCACTGTTTCTCTTGTTTTGAAGCCTGCACGCCACTGAACTGTTTCTGTGCGCCTCATTAGTTTGCTACTCACTCTTCTAAATACTGTCTTACCGCCACTGAACTCTGATTATACTTGTCTTCACGCCACTGCCGTGCATGTCGCAAGGTTGTCGTCATTTGTTCTCACTGCGCTTGATTGTGTACCAAGTGACCTGCAAGTCGCAGTCACCGGTCACATGACCACTCTGTCACTCTTACCCGCACGCCACTGTGAATTAGCTGTCAGCACGCCACTGCCTCACCTGTCTGATGGCGTCTTCGTGAAACTGCGCCAAGACCGAGACCTCGGAATCGACGCTGTCCATGAGCTCGTCTTCGCCTCCGTCGTGCGGGCTGCCACCTCCACCCTGCTGGCGGCCCTCCTCTGTGTACGACATGCCTTCAGTGCTGCGCACCAGAGCCGCAGACTCCGAGTAAGACCCTCCGCCCCCGCTGCCCGCCGCTCCCCCCGCGATGTGCCTTCCCGGCATTCCGAGCAGCCCTGGTCATCTGTAAGAACATCCACTGATGATGCTACGGATGTTTGTGGTTTGAGAATTTAATTCAGCGAAGCTGAAAATCGTGTAAGCCCTAAAACACGCTGATATGTGCGTAGAAAAAGACCATTAGGAAGACCATAAAATAAAGGTAGAAAGCTTAAATTGTAAAATGCAACGCACTGCCAACATTTGAAATCAAATAGCCGGTAAAGAAGCTTCGAGGGTTTATCGACTTACAGACGCGCACAGAGTGATTACTTTCTGCAAAAATTACGGCAGTCACGCGAAAAACAACAGAAAAGGGCAAATGTACCCTTGGGGGGGGGGTTATTAATGACGTGGTTTCATTTACGTATGATGCCTGTAACGACGTACAACATCGACAGCTTTTTTCTTTTTACGTCGATGAAAATCAATGAGTGGCTAGAACGTGCTGCCATCTGCCGGTGAAATTCCTCATGAATGTAATCAGTCACAGCTGACTGGCTGCATGTGTAACAGCAGAAGGCCGCGGTCACGTACATTTTGCGTCAAATCAAAATGTCGCTTATACCAGCAGCTACAGATTCTGAAATAAAAATTACAGAACGAGTTGGTCGAGTGGTTAGCACTCTT